GACAGCTGGAGAGTGACAGGAGAGGGGAGAGAATGACAAGCAGCAAAGGGCCACAGGTCGGAATCTAACCAATGGCAGAAAATACTGCATATGCTGTTCCTGAAACCTATGCATTGCACTTTAAGTGCTGTATTGATGGATGTATGATTTGTATGGGGGTAATAACAGAATCATTCTTATCACTTTTTAGTCAATGGCTGAATATGCTGAGAAAAGTGAAAAAGGTGAGTTAATAATACATATTTATTAAGGTAATTGTTTATTTTGGAAATTGGCTCTGTGAGGCTGTGTTTAGGCACAGTGATGCTTCGAGCTAAATGCTAATGTCAGCATTACATCATAGTTTCTTCTATTTCCTACAGAGTCTCTCATCGCCTCTCAGTCCTTGTATGCGACATCATGGGCCACGCATTACTCTCCAAGACCTGGTGCCTGAGCAAATCCTGGACAAAGATGCACCAACTCCACCCGCCAGCGACACAGAGGCACCCTCCCCGGGGCCTCTTACTTGTGGTTCCCCAAGGGAGAAAGGTGAGTTTAGAGCGTGTGCTCCTCTTTTCTGTAACATTTATTTGTAAATAATCAGGTTAGACATGTTAAACATGTTCATCATGTGTGACTTTATAACATGTCATAAAAACATGTATGTTTTCTTTAAACTGCTCAATCCAACAGGCAGGATTTCTCCCCGTTCAAAGTCTTACAAAGGAGGTGCACATTCAGTAGGGTGTCTGCGTCATGGCACTATTAGTAATGCCCAAGCAGTGCGGGCGGTTTATCTGCTGATGGGAGGGGCTGCTGCTTCCTCTGCTATGGGTTACCTAGGTGCATGCTCGCTCTCTAATCTGGAAGCCAAAGCTCCTGACTTGCCATTTAACACGGATTTCTCTGGCATGGGACCAGCAGGAGCATACCACACTGGTGGCCCCGCACTCGACTCCCCTCACTATAACAGTTTTGACTTTGAAGTGGCAGACTCTGATTTTGATGCTTTTGATTGTGGTGGATTTACTTTCTAATGGTGTGCAGCATGGAGGCTATGCATATGGACAGCTTTCATGATGCAGGAAACTCAGTTGATATTTCATCATAATTTGTCGAAATGACACACCTATATGAAGGTCTCTAATTAAAGCTTGTCATGCTTTTTCAGGGAACACAGTTTAATAACTGCAATGAGAGATGTTTGTTGGCCATTGGCCAACAGAAACAAGCGTGAACACAATACTGACATATCACCTTAGCCAACTAGCACTTACACACCCAGCAGTAACATTGTCATTCATTTGGAGTTCAAAATAGTAAAGTAGTATAAGTAAAAGTACATAAGTATTATCAGTGTGTAGTTTTAACATTATTATATATTATACTAAAGGTCCATTGTGTAGGACTAAGTGTCATCTAACAGTGTAGTTGCAGATTGCCAATGTTTGGTTTGTCTGTTCAAGGCTACTGTAACAAACATGGTGGTTCAACTAGGTGGCCTCCATGGAAAGCGACCCACTCCCTCTGTAGATAAAAACGTTCAATTCTACGGTAACAAAAACACAAGAAATTTTTATTTTAAGGGCATTATAAACTAAAACATACAAACAAAAAACATGAATATTATATTTCATTTCTGCCAATAGGTCATCCGAAATGTTACACACTGGACCTTTAAGCCGCTTTTCCACTGCATGATACGGCTTGGCTCGACTCTACTCAGTCTTTTTTGGTTTTCCATTGTGAATAATACCTGGTACCACCTCGGTTGGGGTTCCAGGCGAGCTGAGACGATACTAAAATGTGACAGGAAAAGACTGCAGACCAATGACCGGTCAGAGTAGTGTAGTGAGTATGCGGTTGAGTAAAAGAGAGAGTGAGCAGCAGAGAATGACAGTGAATGTGAGTGGTGCAGAGGAAAAGGAGAGCAGTGCAGTTGTCAGTATCAATAATTTAGAGAGCTGAGTGTCTGTTAAAGTTTGTCAGTGAATAAAGGCTGCAGCTTCTCAACACCAAACTAAAGCTCCCGTATGTTGTTTCACAACTGCTGGAGAAGTGTTGCCATGACACCCAGCTCCACCTCCTGAGGGAGATTTCTGGCTCTTTAGCTGCGTAATGCTCCAGATGCTCACCAGTCACTGACTTTGTCTGCCTAATGTTTGGTGCTGAGCAGCGAGTGTAGCTACTAAACACATCTGTTACTCCAGTTAAACTTCCTCCATCATATTTCACTGACTTTAAACTAACTCCCCGCCCACATATATATACATATATTTTAATTATAAGTAACAAGTTAAGTCAGGCAAAGTAAAAAGTTGTTACCATGTTTTTGTATTATATGCTAGAACACCTGTGTTGTGATATGAACACTGTGATAATTATTGCTATATTAATTTTGTGCATATTGCCCAACCCTTGTATGTACATTATTTGTCACGATAATGACATCATCAACTCTATCAGTGATTGTGAGTGTGATAAGAGTTTCTGAGAATGCACAATATGCTATGTATGTATGTGTGTATGAATTGAATGTGTAAAAACCATGCTATGGGTACTGATGGGAGATTCGCAACTTGACTCACTGTTGTGTTCCAATTCTACATATTGTTGTAGGAGTATTGTGCTTATTCTGTAACCTTCAATAGATTAAAATAGATCTGCATCAGATTTTTAATTTAGTTTACAACAAGTTACAACCTCTGGCTATGGACTAATAAACCTACTATAGGGCTCTTCCGAATCTCAGCACCGTCCACTTTTGTGCATACTGTGTTTCTTTCAAAGATCCAGCTGTTACTGTGTGCTTTATCTATGTTAGGTTAAAAGCTAAATTTATGTTTGTCTATTTGAGCCCATTTCACTTAATTGAATAAAACTGACTGACTGGGAATTTGTCCATTTTACTTTCTTTTCTTCATATGTTTTCATAAATGTATGCAAACATAAATCAGTTACTAACAACCTAGACTGTATTTCCCACAATGACTTTAGTGAAGTAAATTAACAAACACATCTGCAGAAGGAAACTGAGCTGAGCTGTATGAGTGAACAGAGAACCATAAGAAAACTGTGTTGCTCACATACTCAATTGTACAAATATATCAGTCCATCTAAACGCATTCACAAAAATGTGCACCTTCAACTAGTTTTAGTACCTTGTAGGGTGAGTCACAAGGCAATTTGGTGAAACATGTTTTGCCAAACAACTGCCTTTGACATACACAGAATCATTTGTGATCAATCACAATAAAACCAATCCAATTGAGCTGGTGGCAGGAGCTGTATGACTGAAATTAAGCAGTTTAAATATGTTGCAAGACTCTTATTTTGAAGGGGAGGCATCCTCAGGATAACTCTACATAGCAAATACTTCAACAAATATCCAGTGGTATTTAGATTTCTGCTGCTGTTACTATAAATGTTCTCCCTCACTTCTCTCAGAAGATTCATTGACTTAAAAGTAATTATTCTTTTTTTAGCTCCACACAAATCGCCAATACATCAATTAAAGTGCACACCAATGAAATAACAACATAGGTTGCATGAATGAAATGTGCAGCATTTACACACTTTATTGGGTATTGTTGTTTTACATTATATACTGAATTGTTACTATACTGTATGACTGCAATCCAGGAGCCCCTCACTCAAGCTGCATAGCCACT